ATTGAAACAGAGCCTCCTTTGCTGTCGGTTAAACAAGAAAAAAAGTAGATAAATAGACACACTTATGTTGAGATTTGATGGGACCTTGCGAATAAATTGTTATAACTTATAACCGACATTTCGTTACCACCAATATTCTTATAAACGATACTATTACTGTAAGTATACCTAAATGACTTTATTAATATACCATAATGTTGGTAAATATTAGCATAATACCATTTACAATATAGTTATTACTCGATTTTACGAATAATAGGTACTCATAAGCAGTCATAACCATAATGGTTTAACAGCGTCCACATGTCTGAAAATTTCAACCGATTTTACGCAACGATTGACTTTATATTCAGAAATCATAATAATATAATTATAGTGCCCAGACGAGAATCTGTTATTCAAGTAGCGACCGTTACAGGTATAATATTATGAGATAATCTTTGCATATTACTTGTGTAGACGCCTCGCCACCGTTGCGCACTCAACTGTTTTTATTGTTATTATTATTATTATTATCTCGGTTGTTTTTTGTTCTTTACACAAATTCATAAATGTATACTGCTGTTGTCAATGAAAATTTTAAAATAAATCATTTTTTTTCTCTATTAAAAATTAAATTATTGATATAGGTACCCGTAATATTATAAGAAATTTATGCGAATATATAATATTCTAGCAATGGTCGAATATGCAAAACGAGTTATTGTCAATTTAAAATATTCCGGCTTCACGGATCGAAATAAATGTCTGGTTTAGTTTAGTACAAAAGTTTGTATCGTAAAAAAAAAACAACCAGTTATGGCCGTCAAATGCTACAACATATGTGTGATCGTTTTCAACTACTTAGATCTTGCATAACTTTCTAGCCATTATAATGTTATAGATATATATATATATATAGCCATATAGGTACCTATATAGATGTAACTTGAATGTCACAAGCTTACAATTAAATCGTAATTAAATATTTCTGTTTTACGTATGTGAATTGTTACTGTTTTCATTTTTTTTCCCAAGTAATGGTCAATTATATGAAATGCTTTTGAAGTATTTATTTCGTAATATTCCCTATATTTAAAAATACTGCAAAAACTAAAGAAAAGCCAAAGTCCCTATACTGGTGCACCGAATCTTACAGATATTTGTGCATGTTTAGTGTTTACTTTGCATCAACTAAATTTTGAAAAAAAATATTTAATCATGAATATTCATGGTAAGTAAAATTATTTATACGATAATTGTATCAATGCACAATACTATACCAAAAAACAACTAGCCCCATCAGGAATAGCTCTAACCGATAAATAACTAGGTACCTAACCTAACCTATTCACAAGTCTTTGAAATATACTGTTGTTATGCGTATTTTAAATTAATATTTATAAATACATTTTTACACAAGTATTTTAACATAAACATATGCTGTCTTATTGGTGATTTTTAATATATTTTATTATGCTATCATAATTTGATGTGGTAAGCATAATAATCTTATTTCTTTTAATTATTATTATATTAGCAAGTTTCCGTTCTTAGAATAAATTAACAACATTTAACTACTTTTGAGAAATGAGAATATAGTAGTTTGAAGCTTAGCGTAAGTTCTGCTTTCCACGATTTCCGTAAGAATTCAAATAGTTTTTTTTTAATTTTTTCTAATTTCGATTTAATTAGGTATACCTACGTAAAATGAAAATATATAACAGTCGTAGATGTATAATGTATATATATTTTCCTATGTGAATTATACCCCACCAAAAATTCAATTAAATTTACAACGAAATCAGATGAGTAATTTATAGTTATAGGTACATCAAATGATATGACCTAATATTATGCACAATATGAGAATGGTGAAAAAAACTCTAAGTTTATTTGAAATTATATATTAATTATTTTTTWAAATTATTTGTTCTTGTACTCCAATACTTTTTTATTGTGTACCTATTCAAATACGTATTTTAAATAATATTTAAAATAAGTTCCTGAATCTGTTTACTTAAATACGTTAAAAACGTATATTTTATACGACTGAGTGGGTGTAAATGTGTAGGATACGTCATTCATATTAGGTTATAGTAGACGTCTACACATAAATACATAATACACTATACATATTTTATACTTACGATCAATCCAAAACTGTATTCCAACGCAGATCTATGACTTCCCACGTTGTAGAAAAACACCGGAAATTGTGTCAAGTAGAACGTGTACGACAGACGTGTGCACACGATAAATCCTTTCCAAGAAAACAATGACGATACAAATCCTGAAAAAAATTATACAAAATGATAATGAAATATGAGTAAAATCCGATTAAAWGATTATATTCATATACAATATAATATTAAAATTAAACACCTAAACGGCTAAACGTGTACATATATGTATGGGAAAAAAATTGTATACAAATTTGTTAATAAAATATAATCTTACTACCAGACTTCCGGGATATATCACTGCATGCGTGTAAACGCCAAACGGAAAAGGAACAATAATWATTATTAGGTACTAGAAACGCCTATTATATATCTAATACTTCGGAAACAAGTCTATCGATGTGGCTGAGGGTGAGTTGCGGCCCGACCTTTCGTTTCCGGTGTCGGAGACCGGTGAATTGCGGCACCATAATATTTTAGGTATAGGTTAGTTGCGGCCCGACAATATTTTAGCGATRGGTGAGTTGCGGCCCAAGTAATTATCATTACATATGTACCTTAYTTATATAATATATATTATATTATATACCTATTACCTATGTACCGTATAAAGTTTATACTATAAACGAATAACGATAAACG